ATGAACAGGAAAGACAGGAATATTTCTCTTCTCAAGAGTATTTTCTGAGCACAAGTCAACATGTAATGTTATGTGAAAACTTGGCGCTTTAGATGCCAATTCACGAAAATATTAATAATATTAAATATATAGTACAGACATAAAAAAATACTACTCTAAATACTACTCTCTACACTACCACAATCATATATTCAATTTGGTGCAATGGGTTAATTGTTTTAATTCTTGTCGTTTAACAGGTGGAGCCGATATCCAACGACACCAATACGTATATTTCCCGCAAGAAATAGGCCTACAGGAGGCATGGCAGCCCTATTACCCACGGGTGCTTGCGAACGGAAGAAGAGCGCTTCAGCGATGGGTATTGCCGCAACCCAATTATATGAATGTCGTCAACCAACCGATGTTTTTAAAACCATCTTTCCCTGGGGTGCGGTATGGAGCATTAAGATACAAGATTTTTATTTATCGATGATTAACATTGTTATTATAATTAAAATATGTATTCTGGAACAGACGGATGTTGATAACCTGCAGTTCTTATCCCAGAGGGTACTCTTAATCTACTTAAATCGACTATATGTAAATAGGTAATTGTTTATTTCAGTGTATGGTTTCAAGATCAGTGGTGGCACTGAGATTTGCCAAATAAGCCTTCGATGGTCCAGATGCAAAGCCCTTATGAAAATTTGACAATGGACTTGAGAGGCTATTTGTAGTAGGCCTAGTAATTAAACGTTATTCCATAATTAAACAGACAAAATGTACATTCCTGATTCAAGCTTAATGGAAAAGGGAACTCAAATAAGGCAAAGCTTTTAAGCTGACACCCTTGAAAAAGAATCATTACATAGGATTATTATTTTAAACAAGAATATATATATAAAAGTATATAAGAAACACAAAAATCATATTTTGTAGTTTACATTATAAGAACTTAAATATAAAGGGCAAAAAAATTTTTTTTCAATAAAATACTTACTTATAGGCCTATATTGTTAAATGTATGTAAATTTGACAATTGTTTTATACAGGCTGGAACATTGTTCCACATTTTTGCTCCTGTGTAACTGATTGACTTTAGTCCAAGAGTTGTTCTTCTAAGATTTGTTGTTAGATGTTCATTGCTTCTAGTAAAATGAAGATCTCCTCAATATTTTGGTTTACTCCACAGGTGGACTGCTTCATTTAAAATATTATATCACAATGATTTATTTAGTAAGAATTCCAAAATTCATACAAAATTACGAATATCTTTCGCCATTCAAGATTCTTTCTGAATAAACCAATGGTTTCCATAAATTGTGATTTACAAGTATGTAAGCCTGAGATGTGTATTTTGTTGGATTTAAATGCTTAATTAGTGTAAGGAAACGGTTTTTTAATTTCAGTTGAGTCAGTTCATCGTTATCATCATTATTGCCATTACAGTCATCATCGTCATTATAATTAATTGTCATTGTACTCATTATCAACATTTTCACCATTATCACCGTTGTCATCCACCATCCTCCATTGCCATTATTACCACCATTATCATTATCATCATCATCATCATCATCATCATTGATTGAAAATATAAGGCCTAGTTCGTTATTGATAATCGTACTTGATTGGCCTAGCTAGTACATCATACAGCAAATTATCTCTTGATTGTGGTCTGAATGAAATGCAGAGATCCTCTAGTTGTATACGTTTGAGTTTGATAAGTAGCTTAGATATTTATTCTCATATGCAAACTGAATATTTTAATAAATTGAATAGTAGAATTTAATCACTAGTTGAATCATAAATAATGCAATAATGAGTAGGCTTTTCGTCGAATTGTATGTAATGATAGTTTAGGTACAGTATATATATGCATATCGGTTGTGATGGGCCTTTATTACTTTCATCAGCTTTTGCAAAGAAACAAAGTGAACAATTTCTTTTAGAATAGTATTAGGCCTAAGTCCCAAGGACCTAGCACGGGTTAGGAGCGATAGCATTGGGACTTGGGATCCGATTATCGCTTTTAAAATGACTGATTTAATATTGATTAGGTCTTGTTAGTCTGATATTGTGCTTTCTGTTCTAATGTCTATATATTCAGAAGCATTATCACAAAATCGTCCTAAGTTTATTTGGTTTAGAGATAAATGTGCGCTGTTTTATTATTATTATATATATATATATATATATATATATATATACATTTCAATCAAAATAAAATGTATATATTTTGTATGTATGTATGTATGTACGTACATATATCACAGTATGTTTTGATAGTTGACTGTTGTTTCGTCATGTGCTATTTCGAGAAACGTTAGATTTGGTGTTTGAGCGTTAAATATATGTAATGGTTAAATTAACAACAAATAGAGAATGAATGTATTTATGAAGATAGCAATGTCAACTTTTTAAAGCAATGCAAACAAAGTATTTGTCTTGTATATGAATCAAGTATTTGACACTGGCATAATAAAAGGTATATTAATGGTTCATCTCGTATTTGTTTTCTTTATCTCACAATTATCGGCTATTGAAATAGACCTATCGGAACGGAGGAGTCGGTAGCGGTTCCGCATGGTTTTCATTTTGATGTCATGGGTTCGAATTCTGCCAAAATTTATTTTTAATGTTTGATATTCGTGAGCCATCCTGATAATGTTGTTTTTGACTATGATTATAGTAAACGAACGTTAATTATTTGTTGAAACCGGTAAAAATTTCCAAGCTTTCATGGCGTAATGCCCTTTATATATTTAATGAAGCTTGGATAGGCCTAATTAGGCCTAGTAGTTTTTACAGTATTTGTATGCGTTTTCCAGAGGCTGTTCGCCGAGAGATGAGCGTGTCATAAATGTGATAAAGCTGGTAGGCCTATGCTGCCTCATCTCTAATCATCGTTGTTTGTGAAGAACTGAAACAAATGGAAAGGCAAATTCGAGAAAAAAACACAAACAACGATGTATAGGCATAGAGATGAGGGCCCGGAGGATACTGGCTTTCTCACATTGTATGCACGTATTGTATATAATATTGCTTAACTCCATTCTGTAAAACATCTTGTACATGAAAATTTCATAAATGCAGTGTGATCCAGGGCTGGGGTTCTTTACCGAGTACCGGGTGCGTGAGTGCCAAATCCAGGGGACACGGTCCGGGGTATAGCGGGTGAGGTCTACGGATAATTCCCTTAAAGGTCAGGAGTCTTGGCAATTTCACCTCGTATCACACTTTTACACACTTCGCTACACTCTAGAATGCAATGACAGGAATACAATATCCAAACAAAAAAAAATATTTGGAATAAAATTAAACCATAAAATCAATACATTAATAGAACGTTAGTTCTCCTGTTCACTATAAATCAGATACATTACCTAAAAATAAGACCATCCCTCCTCGAAGCAACTAACCACCCGAAATACTCTCGAGACGATGGAATCCAATTCGATCAGATATGATGCTTTTGGCCCTGAATCTTTGGCCCAATCATGGAAAAAAAATAAACATTGACCAATCTGAGTTCAATTAGAGGTAAACGGTGAGCGCCGGTAAATACCGTAAGGACGCATAATATTTCGTTAAATTATCCACTTTCTGTGTCAGATTTTGTCCAATATTTTGTATGTTTTTCATCACAAAATAAACTTCAAATACAAGTTAAAAAAACATTTGTTGCAATTTTGTAAATTTTTGGTGGTCTCAAACCGTAGATTGCCTGGACTAACGCGTTCACATAGGCCTACGTTTACACTACGGTATCTTTTTTGGGACCAAAACTATCAGGTATTTGCCGGCTTGTATAGGCCTACTCTGGACTAAGCTTGAGCAAAATTAACATTTCTGAAATGAAAGTACAAATTTCACTAGCATTACAATTCATAAAGCAAATGCTTATAATGATTTTGGCGTTTTTATTTTTTCTCTTTACGAATGTTTTTTAATGTGATTTAATTTAATGTGAATTGTTGTTTTTTGCTTGTTAATATAACGCAATTTAGTTCTTATTACTACAATGTTATATTTGGCAATTCTTTTTGCCTTTGTATTGTTTATATTTAAATGTTTGAATAAAATATACCATAAAAATATTGAATTGAATATTTAATATTTAATGCAGACAAAAAAGTGAACAAAAATCAATAGGCCTACTAGTACGGAGCCTAATCATCATAAACAAATATAAAATTTAGAAAATAAAAAACAAGGCATACTCATGTTTGTTCAGATGCACAGATCTATTTCAACAATTTCATAGGACACACTTTTGAAGACTGGTCTTGGTCGGTCATACAGTACTGACCGAGCCTATCCACAAGGTTATAGGACCTACAGGACTAACGATACAACTTTCTGCACAATGTGCTGTTATTGTTTAGCATGAATATTTATTGTTTGTAAATGATGTAGCATTTGATATGCAGAACCCATACCAGTAATATATAGGCCTATCTTTTATGACTGTAAGTGCCATTATGGCAAAATGAATTAAAACATTAATTTAGTGGTGGCCTACTGCCAGCAGACAATATTTTACAAAGACAGTCACATTGAGGCGGCGACTATTATCAACTACTGACCTAACCAACTATAGACACGAACAAAATAAGTCATAAAAAATACTATGCGATTTAAATTAGGTGGGTTACAAGATGGGTATTGTTTACGGTATTAGCTTGATTGTTTTTAATACACAAACAATCGTCATCGTCGTCGTCGTCGGCGGCGGCGTCGTCGTCGTCGTCGGCGGCGGCGTCGTCGTCGTCTTCTCCTCTTCTCCTTCTTCAACCCCGCTTTTATCATGTCCTCCTTGACACAGTCATTCTACCTTCGTTTTGGCCTCCCTCTCTTTCTGGTTTTCGTCCTTCAGTTTCATAACACGATTTCCCACAGGACTGCTCCCTACGTTTGATGTGCCCCCACCGTGTATCGTCTCTCTCAACTTCCCACTGATATCTCCCACCTTCAACTTTCCAAGTATAGTCTCATTCCTGAGTCTGTCTTTTAATGTCACGCCTAGGAAGAACCTCAGCATTTTCATTTCTGCAATCACTTCCATCAGCCGTTCCTGTTTTTTGTTACCGTCATATCATTTCCCCCATCCCATACAACATTGCTAGTTTTAGCATGGTCTTAACAGCTTGACTTTCACTCTTGGTGGGACCCTCTTTGTACAACATACCAGACACCTTCTCCAGCTGTTCCATCCTGCCTGGATCCTCTTTCGTATCCCCCCCCACTCCCCTGTTTATATAAATACATAAATAATGTTTGGTGCTACAAGACTCTTTTTGTGATGACACCTCACACACACACACGCGCGCGCACCCACACACACACACACAACTCCCCCAACACACATAAGATAATACAGTTGATGTATTTACTACACTAGATACATATTTATTTTCATTCATATTATTATAAATATAACTATTATTAATATTATGAATATTACAAATTATATTACTATCTTTATTTTAATTATCCTTCAGTATTATCAATATATTCATCACCACCATCATCATAATAATCAAAAACCTATAAATATTACAAATTACTATCTTATTATCCTTGTCCTTATCCTTGTCATCATTATCAATAACATTATCAACACCATCATCATCATAATCCATTATCCATATTATTATTATCATTATCATAAGTCGTAATCATATAGTGGTTTTTCTTTCGTTTTTATAGGTACATAGATTCTTTAAAGCTTTTACTCAATTGCAATAACTAACAACTTTTCTCTTGTTGAGATTCGTTAATTATCATCTAGCTTTATCGCCATTGCTGCCAGCTTTTCATAGTACGGCATGGAATCTTCCACCATCTTCCTCACTTCATCGCTGAACTCCGATAAGGGCGTTTCTGTTTCCGTATTCTGATCTCGTATTTGAAAGCCAGTACTAGTGTACGCGTTGTCATGCGCAGATGTGGAAGCTGCGAACAATGACTGAACACTTTTTGCTCGCTGCCAACGAGGATCAGGACCAGGATTCCATTTTAACATGCTCTCTTTGTACTCAAGACCAACAGCTTCACAGAATGCCTTCATAATTTTATCTGGTGATACCATAAGGTCGTCTGCGTCAATTACTATTGGTTTCTGACCCATCTCGTCGCGGACGTACTCCAGTAATTCAAGCACGTTACGATGAGGGGATCCCTGTAAAAACGTGGGGTCTTTCGTTGAGAAGCTGCTCTTGTCAACACCAAACCCCTGTGCTCTATCCTTTATTTTATCGACTGAAACATGCACTTTACTTGGCTTTCGAATGAGAAAAACATGTTGGTATCCTTGCGGAATACTGTCGAAATGGCCATAAATTGCTCTTGCTCCATCCTTCATGAATACTAGATCTCTACCGGGATACTCTTTTTCTAAGGTGTTCTTAACCCACTCGAATGTGACGTGCTGGACGTCATCTAGACACTCGATTAAGGGTTCCAATTGTGGAATGTTCTTGCCTCTTTCAGGACCAAACATATTTGCTGTGAAGTATGGCTCTTGGAAGAGTTCAGCGTTTTCAAAAGTGGACATGCATTTTAGAAATGCTGTCGATAAGGAACGAGGTGTGATCCACAATGCAATGCGAACCTGGCGTCTTTCTGTCATCCTGCAGACAAATTTATGAAAATGCAAATTAGTTTTATATAATAAAACGCTTAGCTAGGCCTATAGCAAATACGGATCTAGACAAAACACATTGTTTTTATAAAGATATTAACGGTTACACTGTACAAAACCCATTTCATACAATACTTTTATCCAGTTATCCATGACAAAATACGAAACAATAATTTGGAAAAGGGAGTAGCCTATACTATCAATCAATCAATCAATCAATCAATCAATCAATCAATCAATCAATCAATCAATCAACCAATCAACCAATCAATCAATCAATGGATTTATAAGGCGCAAGGATTTACTACGGGGAAATATGCAAAGAACATACCAATAAAAAATAAGTGCACAGATCATTATCTTCTATAATCAACTAAGATTAGGATGAATATTTTCAATTAGGCCTATCTTTTATTATATCCCGAATTTCACCCATATTCGGGAGAATTTTTTTTTAAAAATAATTTTTGATTATTTTAACAGAAATGAAATCTAAATTACTTAATTTCCTTCATACACTAAAATCTCAATGCCTTAATGAAGCTTAGGCTGTAGCAAAACAGGATGAACCTGAAATCTCTTCGACAGAAAGATGAAAATGGAATTTCTCTGCATAATGGAGGAGCAGCGAATAGTGAGTGAAATTCAGCGCAGGGTTAAAGAAAACTTAATAAATGAATGTCCAGAATTATATCTGCCATGCACCCGCCCCTACCAAAGAATTATCAGGTAGGCCTATGTAACCAAAAAAAAAAAATCAAAATCACGGAGCAGATTGGGGAAAAAAATGAAGTGGCAGATAAATTTTATGATGAAATAAAGTAAAAGTATCATCGAAAATGCATCCCTATAGTTCCATTCCTTTGATCCACACTAAAATCAGTGGCTGCTCGAAAAATATGCCGACAGGGGCCCGACATTGGGTCCCGAACCAATGGGCACATCAGAGCCAGGGTCCCGGAATAAAAATTCCTGGTAGGGTTCATGAGAAGATTTAAAAATTGGGCTTTTATGCCACACAGTAATCAAAATAACATTATTAGGATAGGCAAAGTAATATTTTCGGTCCGACGATCTAGTCGTGGTGTCGAATGACTGGAATGAATGCCAAATAGGATGTACGTTTACTAAGAAAACAATACACAACAGACCGCTATTGGTGATACGTATAAGGCATGACATAATTATGACCAAGCAATTTCTTCTGGTTTTAAAATAGTATAATGTATCTAACACATTTTATGCTAAACACGTCAAGTACCTAAGCAAATTTCGCCCAGACAGGTTTAAACGCGTCACCAAGCCGGACAAAAAATGCGTAGGGTAGGCCTAGATCTTCCAAATATCTCTTACCTTAGTTATTTCTGGGTGTCTGCTGACGTCGTGACTGTGACCGCAAGATGACTAAATTGTATTAAATAGTTTCGCCATGGTTTTTAATAACTGACAGAAGTACCTGTAAATATCACATTCGGGAATCTAACAACCAGAGTGGCATGCCCATCTGACCAGCACATTTCAACCATTTGTTCGCGCATTAATGATACTCTGTACATTCATTTAAATTTAAGTGCCATAAAACACACCTCGTGGTAAAATAGTAACCGCCGATGCCCTTATCTTGTTGCACCATTAAACTTTATTAATAGGACATAATCGATATCATGTTTAATACTTGTTTGTAAGCAAATATGTCTAGACTAGTTTTATTAGGTGCAGGTCTCCCTCTTCTAATTAAAAACCTCTCAAATTAAAGACCACTTCCAATTCAAAAACACTTTGATGTATGTTTATTATAATTAGACATTAAAGCTGCTAAAGGCCATGGAAAACGCAGCCCACTAAGCATCATTGGCTACAAAACACCTTGTTTTTTTTACAACCTGACACCAATCATATGTAAAAAGTGACATTAAAACTGAGAATTAATTGGTGTAAAAGCTGTTCTTTGAGGTTTTTGAAAGCACACTGGAAACAAAGGTGCGGCCCTCAATGTTAAATCAGAAATTCACTTTGGCCCTCCGACCGATTGTTATGCCCACCCCTGCCGTAAATGCTCGAAAATAAGCACCGCTCTCGAATAGTAAGCACCCACCAAACCTGACTTTTTTTCGCTAAGTATAAATTTGTGTGGCTACACTTTATTTCAGCCCTCCAGCTACCAACTCAAGGAGAGCAACGATGCGATTGAATTGGACCAGGGACCAAAAATCTGAATCTCCATGGTTGAGCGCACACAGAGTAGCTACCACCAGTTTTATATTTATTCATTTATTTATTTTTACTTCTTAGCCAACTGAACTATACTGTTGCCCCGCCTTGTAGAATTGAATAAAGCCGGTCTCACATGTTGCGATTTTTTTTCCTTACAAGCTGGGCTATGACATATTTGTCGTCTAAAATCATCTGGTCCGTATATATATCGTAGAATTTTGGAACATGTTAAAACAATAATAGTCGTACGTGTAGTAGCGCAGCTTACGTTTGCGTAAATATAAAAGCAATGTCTGCTTTTTAAAAGCCGGTTTTCCACTAGGCGAATTTATTCGCGCGAATCGAAGGCGTCGGTACGGGTCCTGAGAATTTCGCTGAAGCGCAAACTCCGATGGAAACGTGAATGCGCATGAACGACGCTTTCGATTCGCGAAAACCGGCTTTAGTGCAGTGTGCTACTTAGCAGGTACAGTACCCAGTAATAAGATATCAACTGATCCACTTTTTTCAATATTAGGTTAACACACACATGTAACAGCATACACAATATGACAATAAAAATCACTAATTTATACCACGAAATCTTTCGATGGCTCAACCATCATTATCAAGTGAGGGTCGCATATACTAACACGTAAGCTTATATATGTAGTAAATGAGCAATGAAGCCAGTTTTCCATGCTTTAGGCGAATTCATTCACGCGAATCGAAAGCGTCGTCCATGCGCACGCACATGCACATTTTTATAGGAGTTTTCGCTTCAGCGACATTGGTAGTTTTAACTGTTTCTACTTTTTGTGAAGCGAAAAATGTGCGCAACCAATCAGAGCTCAGGAACCGAACCGACGTCTTCGATTCGCACGAATAAATTCACCTAGTGGAAAACCGGCTTAAAAGAGTAAGGTGATTCGGTTTAGACCAATGGGAAGACAGAATAAATAAGGCTATTAAAGAGTTAATGTAATATTAAAATGTGCCAGCTGCTTGTTTAAGTTAGGTCGTTCCCAATATGACAATACATTTTAATGGACCTTTCTAGAGTGTCAATCGAAGTTAACAACTGGCCAATCAGAACAAGACCAGGAATACGCATGTGTTATACAAACACAAGAAAGGTCTATGGAAAACACACAAGAGCATGCCAGTTTTTGCTTTCTTTGTAAGGTATTCTTTATTTGGTTTTCAATTCACCGGGTGTACAATCAATATACCATGGTGTGTTATCGCATCACACCATATCAAACAAGAGTGAATCTAAATCTTGAAATTTACAGAGCAAGTCACAAATTCACAAAAAGAAAAATATATATTATTTCTTAATCAATACGGAAGGGATAATATCTATAACAATTCTTCCTATCCACACACCTACAT